GCGCATTTTCCGTTTGATAAGGGAAATTGTTTCAGTTAGCAAAAATAGTTTATTTTGGTTTGAGCTAGAGGTTTTGCAGAAACCTGGAGCTGTGCAGTTGGATGATAAGCTTGTCTGGATGGACGCTCAAAATGACACAGCATGATTAGCACGTTGGAGGGCAGCCTGTATCGCGTGTTTAGGTTCAATTGACTGCAGGCACAGCTACATCGCAAGCCTTGGTTTTCTCACAAGAAGATGTTTTATCAAAGGTGGATAGATTGGCAATAATTTGGAAATCTTTTGAGAATGAATGTATGCCCTTTTGTTTGAGAACAAGCATATGTTATGGCTGTTTGTGCTTGGTGAATGTTTACGTGCTCTAGATTCATGTTTCCTAAGTTTATGTATCTTGAACATGTTGAATGTAGCCCAGCTGCTTTAGAGTGATTTGTTTCAAGTGATTCAAATACATTGACATGTGTGACAGATTTACTTTTCATGATTTGGGGGTTATTTAGCCATCTCGTGTGTGATGTGGACACATATTTATTGCAGAGCTGTGTTGTTTGATTGATCAAGTTTTAACTTTACGTAGGAAAGACAAGCAGTTGTGAAGCCCTGTGTGACATCCATCAGTTTCTTGACGTATGTAAGACGTAAATTATTGGTTGAAAAAGATATTCATCATTAATCAGGAAAGATAACACATCTTTTTACATCAAAGTGAGTGAATGAGTGAGTATGGTTCTACACCGCTTTTAGCAATATTCCAGCAATATCACAGCAGGGGACAAAGAAATGGGCTTCACACGTTGTACCCATGTCGGGAATCAAACCCAGGTCTTCGGCGTGACGAGCGAACGCTTTAAGAACTAGGCTACCCGACCACCCCATTTTACATCAAAGCAAACTGTTTGAAGATATTGTTGGAAAAATTAACATCATTTGATAGGTTGATTTGATTGCATTGTATTTTGATTGTAAAGATATTATTGATGATGGAGATGGATTAAGACACTGTTTATGATTTATTTCTGTGTGTGTTGAATAGAGTTTTTTGAAACTGGAGGGTTTCTTTTGTTTGTTGTTTTACAACACTACACTCAGCAATATTCCAGAGAGAGAGAGAGAGAGAGAGAGAGAGAGCGAGAGAGAGTATATAAGTTTGTACAAACTGATGGTTTGGACTGGAAAGCATCTGTCCCTATTAGAAAGGTTTGGACTGGAAAACATCTGTCCCTATTAGAAAGGTTTGGACTGGAAAGCTTTTGTCCCTATTAGAAAGGTTTGGACTGGAAAGCAGTCCTTATTAGAAAGGTTTGGTCATGAAAACATCTCTCCCTATAAGAAAGGTTTAGACTGGAAAACTTCTGTCCATATTAGAAAGGTTTTGACTGGGGGGAAGCTTTTGTCCCTATTAGAAAGGTTTGGAATGGAATTCAGTCCCTATTAGAAAGTTTTGGAATGGAAAGCTGTCCCTATTAGAAAGGTTCGGTCATGAAAGCATCTCTCCCTATAAGAAAGGTATAGACTGGAAAGCGTCTGTCCCTTTTAGAAAGGTTTGGACTGGAAAGCTGTCCCTATTAGAAAGGTTTGGTCATGAAAGCTTCTCTCCCTATAAGAAAGGTATAGACTGGAAAGCGTCTGCCCCTTTTAGAAAGGTTTGGACTGGAAAATATCTGTCCCTATTAGAAAGGTTTGATCATGAAAGCATCTCTCCCTATAAGAAAGGTTTAGACTGGAAAGCATCTGTCCGTATTAGAAAGGTTTGATCATGAAAGCATCTCTCCCTATAAGAAAGGTTTAGACTGGAAAGCATCTGTCCCTATTAGAAAGGTTTGATCATGAAAGCATCTCTCCCTATAAGAAAGGTTTATACTGGAAAGCATCTGTCCCTATTAGAAAGGTTTGATCATGAAAGAGTCTCTCCCTATAAAAAAGGCTTAGACTGGAAAGCATCTGTCCCTATAAGAAAGGCTTAGACTGGAAAGCATCTGTCCCTATTAGAAAGGCTTAGACTGGAAAGCATCTGTCCCTATTAGAAAGGTTTGGACTGGAAAGCATCTGTCCCTATTAGAAAGGCTTAGACTGGAAAGCATCTGTCCCTATTAGAAAGGTTTAGACTGGAAAGCATCTATCCCTATTAGAAAGGCTTAGACTGGAAAGCATCTGTCCCTATTAGAAAGGCTTAGACTGGAAAGCGTCTGTCCCTATTAGAAAGGTTTAGACTGGAAAGCATCTGTCCCTATTAGAAAGGTTTGGACTGGAAAGCATCTGTCCCTATTAGAAAGGTTTAGACTGGAAAGCATCTGTCCCTATTAGAAAGGTTTAGACTGGAAAGCATCTGTCCCTATTAGAAAGGTTTAGACTGGAAAGCATCTGTCCCTATTAGAAAGGTTTAGACTGGAAAGCATCTGTCCCTATTAGAAAGGCTTAGACTGGAAAGCATCTGTCCCTATTAGAAAGGTTTAGACTGGAAAGCATCTGTCCCTATTAGAAAGGTTTAGACTGGAAAGCTTCTGTCCCTATTAGAAAGGCTTAGACTGGAAAGCATCTGTCCCTATTAGAAAGGTTTAGACTGGAAAACATCTGTCCCTATTAGAAAGGTTTGGACTGGAAAGCATCTGTCCCTATTAGAAAGGTTTAGACTGGAAAGCATCTGTCCCTATTAGAAAGGTTTAGACTGGAAAGCATCTGTCCCTATTAGAAAGGTTTAGACTGGAAAACATCTGTCCCTATTAGAAAGGTTTGGACTGGAAAGCATCTGTCCCTATTAGAAAGGTTTAGACTGGAAAGCATCTGTCCCTATTAGAAAGGTTTAGACTGGAAAGCGTCTGTCCCTATTAGAAAGGTTTGCCTTCATATCCACTAAGTAACCTCCACATGAGGATGGGGATACTTCAGACAAAAATGTCAGATGACGTACAAGTTTGATGTATTATCCCGTCTCAATGTGTGTGAATATTTTTTATATGTGCATTCAACGTTTAACAAACTGAAGGAGTGCCAGTGATAAGAGCTCTTGCAGTCCCAAGAACCCAGGAGTGGGAGACCACAACAGTCTGTGTGTTCTAGGATTTTACATGACAAACACGTCATTGTTTGTGTGGGAATGTGCAGTGGTTGGTACATGTCAGCACTGTTGGACAAATCACCCAGTTCTCACTGGAGTCTTGTATCACATGATGGAAAAGTGTCTAACCCTGCTTATAGGGCCATTGCTCCAGGTATGCTGCGTATCTGCGTGATATACGCATCAGAAATGCAGAAATACGCAGTAAAATATAAACGCACATTACAGATACTCTACAAAAATAAAACTTGTGTGTATCATCAAAATTATGTGAAGTAACCCTGCATATTCGATTAGCAAATCAGCAACTTATTTTGAAATTATAAACGGGCATTCCGTCAACCTTGCCAAACTCAAAGATGACAGTTACATCATGATCATTTGCCATCACACTTTCTTGTGGAAGTATCGTGGTATTTTTGAGTCCTATAAAGCTCTCGAACCCACACGGCACCTGTTTGCAGGGACTAGATGAATAGTGTTCTTAAATATTTAACTTAAATACCCACATGTGTAAAAACTAATGGGTAACAGAAATTTGAATACCCAGATAGAATTACTGATACCCAATGATTTTAAAATGCATGGGTAAAATACCCACAACACCAAAAACTCAACTGGAGCTCTGAGGGCAGATAATCTTATCATGATTACCATAGTCCATTGCTTGGGAAAATCCTGGCTCTTTGAATACTCTTAGGCAATCATCATTATCACGACCCATGGGTGGCCCAGCAGCCGGTTGTGCCACAAGTCTCGGTGCAGTACACCCCTTGGAGATTCTGGGTTAGAATTAGTCTGAAGGAACCTATGCTAGTCTTACGAGGAAGTAAACTCATTTGGGTTGTCCGAGGCTTGGTAACTTGGTTGATTGTGTGTGATCATACACCAACGGTGTGATCGTTGCTCACAAATATCAATCACCGGATTGTCTGGTGCAGACTCAATTTTATATAGGAATATTTCTGAATGCAGCATCTTCTGGATGCCAGAGGGTCATATCTCCCTCCTCTACAACCCTCACTTTGAAATACTGAAGTTTTCAGTCATTTTTCCTCTCTCTGGATGATAAATATATAATTAGTATAAATATGTATATATCAGTCTCTCATAGCCTCCAGGTGGGATCTTACTGTATAGACCCGTGAAGATCCGGGGTAGAATAGGTCTTCAGCAACCCATACTTGCTGTAAAAGGCGACTGCTTGTCGTAAGAGGCGACTAACAGGATCGGGTGGTCAGGCTCGCTGACTTGGTTGATGCATGTCATCGTATCCCAATTGCGTTGATCGATGCTCATGATGTCAATCACTGGATTGAGGGCATTAAACAACAAACAAACAAAATACTGATCATCTTCTAAAGCTGAAAGGTATTCTGAAGTTTACCTCAGTACCAGCAAGCACATTTTAAAGACAATACCGTATTCGACGTAATAAGCACCCAGGGTGCTCTCAAAATTAGAAATAAGGGGTTCTTATTAGAATATTATTTTGGTGAAAAAAATCAGAGTTAAAAGATCATAGATTTCGTGGTTTATGCTGACTGTCTGAAATGTTTATATACGACAGATATATTTTTCCAAGACTTAAATGACCATAATTAAGGGTACATATAACACACGAATGCGTATTATACACGAATAAATAAGTCTTGTGTACATTGATCAATCAGAAGGGGTGCTAATTGAGATTGTTCACTAGCCAATATATTAGCAAATATCGCCGTGGGCGCTTATTAGAGCGGGACGCTTATTACGTCGAATCGGTATATGTCATTGTTAAGGTAATTAACTTGTGTGTTTGTGTATCAGTTTCCAGCATAAAAGTACACATGTTCTCTTAAAGCTGTCATCAAGTTAATGCTCTAAATACTGTTTACCAAACCTTGACACACAAACTTGCGTAATAAACAACATGTTGTGATCAGGAAAAGACATGATATGCTACAATGTGATTTTAGAATTTGAGCTACACTGATCGGTATCTGCTGAATCTTGAAGTGACATAAAGGCCATGTACAATAACTGTCCTAAATGTCTACCCATGTGTGAATTGCGTGAGCTATTGTTTTCCTCGAGACTGGTTCCTGCTGTCCTCTATTGTCTACTGTTACATGTCTACAAAATCTGACACCCTCCTGTATTCATTGAGACGACACCAATCTGCGATTGTCGGTTAGCGGGCATTACATTGCAAGATACCTTGATCACGTTGATTGCCTGAGGCTGCTCATTCATAGGATCAACATGCCTTACAAGTAAGTCCTGCTTATTCTTTACTGTTCTGCGGTAGGTATCAAATATGAAATTGGTCATTAAGTATTGCCACAAGCATGATACATTTTTACATATACAGAATAGTTCTGGGCTCTTGTTTCAGCGCCTTGATGAAGGAAAACTGCGTTTGAGTTAAGAGTTAGGCACTTGTGGCAAATGTCAGAATTCTGAAGGGGTTTTGAAGTTTGAAGCGAATGTGTCCTATTCGCTAGTCAAGGTCATTACACGTGATTCTGCTTGGCTGTAGTCATGTTAGTGTTAGCTGAAAGAGTTGCGGATCATGAGGTGAGGTGAAATGGGGTTTTATGTTGTGATCGTGATTATTGCCCAAATATAACAAGGTGCATGTACTTGTATATGTGTGTGGCTGGTGGCACTAGTTTGGATTTATGTCAGATTTATAGTACTGGTCCACTGAGATGTCATGCTACAGGTCAACATAGATACCCCATTCTGACAGTTTACAGACTCTGAGCCAACCGGTCCTCGTTTTATCTCCTTAATGCAGCGTGCCAGGCAGGGCAACAACAAATGCCATCTTTTAATGTCTTTTGCTGTGACTAGTAGGGCTGGGATGGGTAACTTGGGTACCCGGGTCGGGTGGGTACTAAGTAGGACGGGGGTACCCACAGGTCTACCCGGACCCGTGGTTAGTCACGTGATTATATTGTTTAATGGCAAAAACTTATCTAGAACTCTATGGTTTCACTACAAGTCACTAATGTTTTCGCATTTCTTTCTGACTATGCACCCATTCATTCTGACTTTTCATGTCTTTGAATAAAGATATAACTTGAGAGTCAAATTCAGTGTATGCATGACCAGATTGTTTAATACATGTATCTAAATGTGTTTTGCCAGTGCTATGGTAAGAAAATGCCCAATCGGACATTTTGTACCTAACTCTTGAGACCTACAGAGGGTACCCAGGTAGGGTCATGTAATAGGGGGTTGGGTACCCGGGTAGTAAATTCGGACTCGTCCCAGCCCTAGTGACTAGGCTGGGGATCGAATCTCAGACCTTCTCTCCGGGCAAACACTTGATCCACATGACCACACAGACACCCATGACAAAGAAGCATGGCATCGAAGTACCAGCTTGACAAGTGGGAATTCCATTTTGTCATTGCATGTTACTAGACGAAAAATAGGCTGAACATTTGTGTGATGTATATCTTGTCAAGCCCTGTTGTTGTCTCGAACACGTGTGTAGAATCCCCAGTCTGGTCTGGCAAACTCTTGCTATGTTTATCCCATTTTAACTTTGGTGTGTTGGACTGGATGTGTGAAGTTCCCAGGTGTACGTAGTCTGTACACTCGATCTGTACATCGTCCCAAGAGGTAGAAATAACCTACAGCTTACCCTGATCAGTGCTGATAGGTCCAGCTCAAAAGTTTAAAAAGAGTTTCCTAATTTTTCTTAAATCATCTATCATGTCTATTGATATGAACATTGTGTATGAACATAGTGTATTTGTTTCGTTGCTTGCTGTTGTCTGATGGTGAAGTCTGACAGTAACAAGGTCGTGTTGAACCCTGGATAAGTCAAACTCTCTATGGTCCCCAGGTGTTTGAGACAACAGGGTTGGACTAGTTTTCATGATGTCATCTTGACTGATGTTATAACATATACAAGCTGTATTTTCTTCACTGCAACCAGAAGGAAATGATAGCCTTCTTGACACTAAGGCTTACAAAGAGGAGCTTTTAAATGAGCTATCAATTGACAAGTTTTTTCCCTAAGATTGTGCAAGCCAAGGCAAACGAAGCATAACCAAATAGCATTAGTTACACTTGACAGGGACCTTCATTTGTCTTGGCGACTCTTGAACAATCTGTGGTATCGTAGTCAGCCATACCAACCACGATATATATCCCCAAACTCCCAAGCAAGTCTACAATACTTTGGCAAGTCTAGATTTCTTAAAATTTCTGAAAATGAAGAGATTCTCTAGGCTTAAAGGGCAATCACATTCCTCCCATGCCAAACTGAAACACAACGATTTTACTGAAATACTGTTAAAAGCGGTTTTAAGCCCACCTCGCTCACTCATATGTACACTATCGTAAAATCACCAGGAAACAAGATTCTTCCACATCAAGGAAGTGGCAATTAGAACGACAAGCACTTACATAGCTGTTGCCATGTCTAATGGTAGTAATTTTCAGAAGTTGAATAAAAACGAAATGTTTAGTAGAGGCATTATCAGTACTTTAATTCCTGTTTAATGGGGCAATGGGGTTTCCTAGTTGTTTGAGTGCTACGATACGATAGGATAAATTTTATTGTACATATCACTCACAAGGGGCCAGGTACAGACACAAATTAAACAGATTTTACTTTATGAGTGAGTGAGTACGGTTTTATGCAGCTTTTAGCAATATTTCAGCAATATCACGGCTGGGGACACCAGAAATGGGCTTCACACATGATTGTAGCCATGTCGGGAATCGAACCCGGGTCTTCGGCGTGACGAGCGAAACACTTTAACCACTACTGCGCCTTTTACTTTATGACAGAGAGACATATTATCATGATTATACAGTGATTATGGTCATGATAATGAGACGGATGGCTTGCTGGTCATGCTGTGGTCTTGTGATGGATTCACTCCATTGGTAGTGTCTGAATATATATATCTCTCCATAACCATGATAACTTCCTTGTCAATAAATATCGTAGAACCAAGGAAAGTGATTTTGTAAATTGAATATGTTCTAACTGTACCAACCAGGTTGGTTGGTTTGTTGTTTCACACCCCACTCAGCAATATTACAGCTATATGACGGCGGTCTGTAAATAATTGAGTCTGCGCCAGACAATCCAGTGATTAATAGCATGAGCATCGACCCACGCAATTGGGATTGTTGACATGCATCAACCAAGTCAGCGAGCCTGACCACCCGATCCCGTTAGTTGCCTTTTACGACAAGCATAGTCACCCTTTACGGCAAGCATGGGTTGCTGAAGACCTATTCTACCCCGGAATCTTCACGGGTCGTACCAACCAGGAGATTGAAGACGAGTTTCATGGTTTTTTTTATGTGAAAAATATAAAACGTTGAGATTAAAGTTTCTACCTTATTTAGATATTACACACAAAGACAATCAATTAATGATCAGTTTGTTGAATTCGACCAATGTACATGATGAAGAAGTATCAAATCTTTAGCAACGTATTTGAAACATGCATTTCGGCTCAGGTGATGCTATGTTCTGGATCGCGTTAATTTTTATGTATCTGTTAAAATTGAACTTTATTATGGCCCATATGGCCTTGCATACTGAATAAACTGTCTGTCTGAATATATATCACGTCCTGATATTACTGGAATTTGAAAGCATAAACCTATCCTCCCCCTCTGGTGTTTATTCTATATCACCATTTATATATGGCTCTTGCAATTGTGCACCAGTTTTAAGACACAGTTAGAGTGACATCCTTTTCCAACGCTGAAAGGCCAAAATAAGATATAGGTGTTAGATGCAGTTTTGATATGAAATATATACAGGACACAAATACCCACCACGATTCACGTCAGATGTTTCGGCACAACGCTAAGTTCGGCACCAATGATGAAGGAATGCGAAACAGCTAAGTGCACAAAGGGTATGCTAAGTTTGTCTTCAGTCAAGCCAGATGTTTGATATTTAACTCTCTTAATCAGAACCCAAGGAAGCCTGTGAGCGGCCTTGACCTATGTCTGTTATCGGGAGTGACACTGATTTACTGGGGAGGGTCCACCATCCTCAGCTATCCAGGAACTGGCATTATGATTCACACCCAAGGATCATTAGAGCTGACAGTGCCAGTACAGTTTCCTAAATGTATGTTTGTATGGATGAGATGTGGAGATACATTTCCTGAGAAGTCATCCTTTTTGAATGGTGTTTGTATTGTTTATGTACTTCTCTGTAGCTGTAATAATGTTTTGATAGCCAATCTTGTAGCTGAGATAAGAGCGGATCCAACCCTTGAGGCCACAATAAATCAATTATCAAGTTTTTTTCAATATTGTGAGTGGGAAGTATTATGTATTTTTGTATGCAATCTGATCAAGGCATCTGCGTACATGAACTGTTAATGGATGTGATTCACATGAAGAATGAATGGGTGGTAGGACCATGTGTACATGTGTATTAGAGCTCCCACAAGTACTCGAGTACTCAGGGCTGGGTCTTCGGTTTGAGCATTAAGTTTGTTATTGACAACTTGAGTACGCTCAAAGAGGCAACTAACGGGATCGGGTGGTCAGGCTCCCTGACTTGCTTGATGCATGCCATCGTATCCCAATTGCGTAGATTGATGCTCATTATGTCAACCACTGGATTGTCTGGCCCAGACTCGATTATTTACAGGCCGTAAATATAGCCTGAATATTGCTGAGTGTGGCGTTAAACAACAAACAAACCAACAAAAAGTCAGGGGAGGTAACTCTAATTCACATACTTTGTTCATTTCAAAACACTGTATAGAATGAAAGAAAGACGGCTCATTAATTTAGTCACACAAGTTAGAGCTGGTGTGTATACAGAATAGCCTTGATAGTAGTTCTTCTCCTCTGTAATTTCATTGGAGGATTGTTCTGTCAGTTATCCAATCACATACGAGCTTATGTCAATAGGCACATTCTCATGACAGCTGCAAATAGATTTCAATTGATGAAAAAACATTTTCTGTTGTTACAAAAACATAGAGCAAGTATTTGGCCAAAGTAGATAAATTACTTGGAATTGGATTCATTTTGTAGCAGGTTGAATAGTTGTCCAAGACATTTTAATGTACGCCAGTGTTATTGTCTTCACGATCTACATAGGTCAATTTGTCTCAGAAAATTACATAATTAAAATCTAACACACAGGTGGGTTTGTTTATGCTTTATTTAAGTTAAGTAAAATATTACTTGCTTTTGTTCACTAGAAAATGAAAGCTACATAAGCCTACACTCTAAATTTCTTTTTTATAACTTTTCTATTCTG